AACTACTACAAGAAATAATTAAGAAAAAATCAACTACCCAGTTTTTAAAAAAAAAAACCTATTATGTTGGACTGAAGGATTGCAAAGTCAATTGTCTGAGTGATATGCCCAAATACTCATTACTGCTAACCAATGCAAGTAACACAGCTAAAACAGAAAAGTAATGAGTCATGTAAAGGGTCATTTTACTGTACAATACTTCAGAGCAGATATGATAGCTACTGAACAACAAATAATTTTGTTGTAATTGCTGCCGATACAGCAAACAAAAAATGAATTCCTAACACTTAAAAAGTTTACACAGAACCAAAAGCAATTTACGGTAAAAACAACATAAAAATCAATGAATAGTGTAATTGCTAGGATGAAAAATTATAGCACCATCATCAGTGCCAGAATTTACTCCAATTGTGACATATATAGTGACTGGAAACAAGATTAAATCACTCAGGATTACTGCCACCTAAATTGCAATACAAATATCATTTGTATAGTACTTTTGTATGCACATGCCAGAACAATGTGCTAAAAATGAGCTGAACTCAATAAATTCTCCAATATAAGACAATTCAAAGATGCCAAACATCTCAGCACTTCAAATTCTCACTTGGCAGATAAAGAGTGTAAATCCTAGTTTTATAAAGGGAAGCATCTGAAGGCAGAATGATGGATTATTGTGATCAGCTGGAACTTTGATCAACAGATCTTTTGATTTCCATACATTTTTGTGGCCTCCTATTAGTTCTCTGTATCTTTGCTCAATATTCATTCTAAAAGGGGAATACAGTTTCCAATTTTCAAAATGTAATGTCAATATCAAACCAAAAAGAAAAATGTTTTAACGGACTGAAAATAATCCATGGTGTCCAGGGCTTCATTGACAGGCCATATACAAAGCACCGTTTACTATCAATAAGTGACAGTACAGCAAAAGAAGCTGTGCCCCACATGTCAGTAGTAAGCAGTTCCAGTAGTAGCATCAGAGAGGCAGTAAAATACCAGTGGGTTTCAGGAGTGCAGTACAAAGAACTGAGGATAAATTTGACTTGACTGGCACCGGTCTTGCATGGCAGGAGGTGCATATCACAACAGTATTCAGGAGGGGCAAAATGTAGAATATGTGAGTGTTCCAAGATTAGGAAAGGAAGGAAGCAGTTGATCCACAGTCAATCAACTGAAGCAAAACCGGTCATAGCACAAATAGCCACAGGCATGCAGAATTTACAGAAGTGTTTATGTGAAAATAATGAAGTTAAAGGGAGGGCTATAGACATTGGTACAATACACAGAGCCAAAACCAGAGTGGGGTGTGCCCTTGGCAGTAATTAAAAAAAAATTATTTTTTTTTTACTTGACACAAGTGATGGAACTCTCCACTATTTATGTAATTGGGGCAAAGGATTTAGTAGTGTTCAGAAAGGCATTACACACTTATACAAATAACAGGAATATATGCCATTAAACTAAGGATACAAACTTATCAAAGAATAAGCCAGCCACTAACTGTCTCAGTTGAGGAAGAAACTTTCTGCATAGACATAGTCTATTATGGGGGCTTTGCTCCTTACTCTACACTAAAGAGTACAGTACTGGATATTGTAGGATACAGGATATTATACTATTGTCCTGATTTTTCAACCCTTATGATTCTAACAATCCTGAACAACCAACTCTACACTACCCCAAGTAATGTGACATACCCTCAGAAAACAGCAAATATGCAGTGGAGCCAGCAGCAAATGTCCAGCATAATCAACAGTTGTACCCTCCCCATTGTGGGCAGCCACTTTCCCAAGAGGAGACATGTCATGACGAGGACTCCATTGGACACATAGCAATATTAAGTCACACAGAGTAGCACTGGTAAAGTCACCAATAGACATGCACTCCACACGGCAGATTAGGGAACCATACAAGAGAGGTAAGAAAGAACCACATCCTGCCACTGCTTGCATGTCCAGTACTCATTGTTGGAGGATAAACTATGCTTTCCAAAACACGTCCTTCTTCCTTATCCCTACCCCTTTTTAGGATTGATCCTATACTCACTGCAGTCTATGGCAAAGGTCCCATTGACTTCGATGGCGTAGAATAGAAGTGGGGAACCTCTCCTGGATTTAGCCTCCGAAGCTCAGGGCTCTCCCCAGCCTTGAGAAGCACAGGCTGGCACTCCAGCCCTTCATGGGATTGGAACACACAAAATCTACTAGCCTGAACCTCCCCTAAGCTCTGGTGAGCAAGGGGAATTTGAGGAGTGTCTTTTTCCTTCTCAGTCAGGGCCACATCAGTGAGGACTTCTTGTTGTTTTGTTTTTTGCTTCTCACTTGTGCGTGGCCCCAGACTGATTTTTCTGTGGGTCAGCAGACCCCCCCCCCCAACCCAAAAAAGGTTCCCCAACCCTAGTGTAGAATTAAGGCCTTACTAGGCTGTCCTCTCCTTTGCACTCAGAGGCAGCATATCAGCCCAGAGCTTTGTTTATATATTCTACTCCTCTCACCGACAGCACCCATTCACACAATTTGCTCTATCTCCTATCCTTTGTGACACGTGCAGCTCTGCACACATTGTCTAAGCTACTCAAGCTATTCCTTTTTACAGAGAATGTTAGGTATAAAAGATGAAGGTGGCGCAAGGTTAATCAGATATTACAATTGTCTTGAGGCAGGCCAAAATGATGGAATAGCCATTTGAATATTCAATCCCCAAATGGAAAAAACTAATAAAAATTAATGGGTATTATGCAAATTAGAACATATCTGTGCTTGTAGCTGAAAGCCCATGCCATAGCACAGGTATAATTCATAAAGTTGTGTGTAAAGTTGTGTGTAAAAAAAGCTAAAAGTTACTGAGAACATAAAACTGGGCAATAAGACCATGAATCTCAGTGATGATTGAACTGTGGTGATATTCTAATAAAATGAGTTGTTCTCCATGCTATGATTTCCATTGATTAGCACAGACTTTCTAGGCTTCATAGGGATGTTTGAGGTTATTGTGGCTGTTGTTTGTGTTTAGGGGGAGTTGTGATGGGAGTTTTCTGTTGATTTGTGAAAGTGGTATATGGGCACATGGGAGTGGCAGCTGAGCCAAGTTATCCACCAGTCTCTCATATACTCAATGAAATGGTTGCACATAAATTAGCTGGGGAGTAAGACTTGTGATTAGTCAAGATACCTCTGATATCACAATAGCGTAGAACTCGGGGCAGGCAAAGATACATGCCTTGCTGTAGCTGAAACACACATAGGTGTAATTCATAAAATCAAAATAGTTGAGAACTTAAAAGTTGGACATTAAATGATGGTAAATCAGAATGATGGTCCAACCTGGTGAGGTTCAGAACAAAAGTTGCTCTCAGACTCAGCCATGCTTCTAATTGTTTACATCACTTCACACTGACCGTACAGACAACATAGGCTCCAGGGTGACATACAGCACAACAATCCAGGGTTTTTTGTTGTATGGATTAGTTATGCTGCTCAGGTTCACACCTCTTGTGCTAGATGCTATACAAACAGAGATAGATACAGTCCCTGTCCTAGAGATCTTAATCCATAAATGGATTGGATTGTAAATTCATCAGGACAGGGACTATATATGTATGTATTTGTCTTTGTACAGCATATAGTAGAAGAGATCTGATCAGCATTACTGTCTTATAAATAATGCGCGCGCACACACACACACACACACTCACACACACACACACACACACACACACAGAGAGAGAGAGAGAGAGAGAGAGATTGGAGGAGAAACAAATCAGTTTGCATTGCATTGAATTTGCAACTCCCCTTTTCATCTATAGGTTGTGATTTAAACTGTAAATTCCTTGGAGCAGGAAGCTGTGTTTGTTAAGCACTTAGTATTTACTCAGCCCCCAAAACTCTGCAAATAGTGAAACTGATAATGTTTGTTTTCCTTTTATTGAAATGGGATAAAACATTTAACTGAGCAAACCAAAGTGATCACCACCAGCACATAATGTCAATATGTATTTATAACAAAAGCAGGCACTTCAGTCACAAATCACTAATTTCCATAGGGTTTGTAACTGTAACATTCCCAATACAGTACTGAGATTTCTCAGGACCATCACAGCTGTATACTTCCGAAGCAACATTAAGAGATATTCCCATTTCTGACCCTTTTTAATCAAAGTGGAAATTGAAAAGAAATGCCCTTATTACAACAGTGAATCTATGTTGATATTTTTTCTTCCCAGTCCAACAGGTGGGACACATTTGCTACACAATTACGAAAAGAAAAAATACTAACACTGAGCAATTGCTGTAACATTTCTTTTATTTTAATGATCCTCACAGTCATATAGTAAAACTACTTCATCCAGTATTTCTTTACACACAAGCATTATATCATTCTGT